TTTTCATTTACATTTCCTGAGTGCCCCTTTTACAGCCCTAGCCTGGCTCAATCGATAAATCTGTAGATCGGCGGGCTGCTCTGGGCCAGGAGGTGGAGCAGCCGGAGACCTGTGGACACCATCCCTGGAGAGGAGCCTGCCCTTGTTAGTGGGTACAGCGACGCCCAGTGGTGCTCTGTGCTCTCGTGTCCAACCTTTTCTCCAAGCCAGGAGCTCTGGCCTAGACGGGGCTGCAGATAGAGCCCCAGCCCCAGCCCCAGCCCCAGCCCCAGCCCACCACCATGGCTGGCCGGACCATGCGGGCCGAGACCTGGAGCCCCGCTTCTTCCTGTATTACTGCCTCAGGAGGCCTTCCTGACTCCTGTGGAAGGTCACTGCCCTACCTCTCGTGACTTCTTTCTTTGACTTATTCGGACCTGTAGATAACTTATCACTGTCAGGGATTTTCATGGAAATTTAATTTTTTACTACCTAAGTGTCTTTCTCCCCTACTCCCACCTCATGTCAGCTTCCTGAATATTGGGCTTATAGTAATCTTGTTCACTACTGTATCTTCAGAGCACCATGGGACACATAGTATGTGCTCAATAAATATTTGTTGAGGAATGAATAACAGTGATAATCCTGAGTCACCAATAATAAGTGATAATAACACTTATTGAGCTCTTACTGTGTACCAAGTACTCTTCTTAGCACTTTATACATGTTTTATCTCATTTAAACCCCACTACGTCCTCTGAGGGTTATTATTACCGTTTATAGATGAGAAACTGAAACCCAGAGAAGTAAGTTGCCCAACAGCCAGTGAGCCAGTGTCTTGGGCGTGAGTCCTCCTCAGCTCCTCTTCCATATAGTCAATCCCCTGTCTGGTTAGTATCACCTCCCAGCATTGTCTCCCTCCCTCTCTCTCCCCATGCTCTGTCATCTGTCACCCTCACCTGGCTACAGCCTCCTCATAGGTCTCCTTTCCTCCTGTCACCTCCACACAGCTTCTACAGCAACCTTTTTCTAAAGTACAGGTTTGATGGGGTCATTTTCCTGCTCAAAGCTTTCAGTGGTTTCCTATGGCTTTCAGTTCCTCAGCTTGGCACTCATTGTATCCTTTTGGGAACACCATGACTTGGGCCTATGGACTGTGTCTAGATCGTGCCGCATACTTATGTATCTTTACTAATATAAAAGCAAAAACGCATTTATTGAGTACTCACTATGTGCCAGACACTGTGCTAAGGGCTTTACTTGTATTAATCTTGTAACTCACTTAATCTTCACAATAGTCTTATGTGGTAACTACTATAATTATCCACATTTTACGATGGGGAAACTGAGGCCCAGAGAAATTAAGTACTTGCTCAAGGTCAGGATTTGAACCCAGACAGTCCAATCCCAGAATCTGTGCTTGCTAAGCATATGATCCCTTTGCCTAAAATGTGCTCCACCTCCGCATTTGTCTACCTGGTCAAATCCTACTCGCCCATTGAGATCCTACCTAAAGGTCCTCCCTGTGTCTTCTTCCTGGGTTGCAGCCAGGTGCCCGGCTCCCTCCTTGGTGATCCCATAGCCTGGGGGCTTATGCGACTGGTGTTTGTTTCCCCCTGTCTATGCTGTGGCACAGAGCAGTTGCTCAGGGAATGTCTGTTAACTTGACGTTCCAGATTCCGGGGGCATAACTGCAGGTGGCACTGATGAACCCCCAATGCTGACCAAGGAGGAGCCTGTTCCAGAATTGCTGGAGGCTGAGGTGAGAGAGGCCAGAAGGCTGGACTCGGGTCTTGGAGGGAATGGGGGCTCTGAGGCAGCCAAAGGCTTGGGGGCTGCACTCCTGAAGTCCAGGTGGGAAACATAGACCACAGACACAGCTAAAGCTTAGAGCTGGGTTCTTGGAACTGAAAAGGAAGGGTGTTTTAGAAACAACGTCCTGTGGTCTGGAACGGGACTGATTTAAGACCATTAAAAGCCTGAAAAGATCATGATGCTCCTCCAAGTATTATTTTTTTAAATCCTAAAGTATACAATTAGCTTAAGAAAGTCCCCCACAGACTTCTGACTTTTCCCACAAGGACTACCTTGATGCATTTCCCAGAAATACCAAATGTCAACTTCTTTCCCCCCAAACAGTGTATTGTTTCTGGTGCCCTACTTAATCTGCATTCTGGGTTCCTGGCTCTGATCTAGACTCCTGGGTCCGGGAGGGAAGTGGAGTGAAGGCTTTGGAGAAGGCAGAGGTTAGGAGGCTGCACTCGTGGGCTTGGGTGGAGCTCATGCCTGTCCGCCCTTCCTCTCCAGGCCCCTGAAGCTTACCCAGTCTTTGAGCCAGTGCCACCTGTCCCCGAGACAGCCCAGGGTGACACAGAGGACTCGGAGGGCGCCCCCCCACTCAAGCGCATCTGCCCAAATGTCCCCGACCCCTGAGAAGCCGGCCTGCCTGTCCTGTTGCCCCAAGGGCCCCTTTAACTTTTTACAAATAAAGACCCTTTTGTAATTTTGTGTCATGTCATTTCCCCGTCAGGGCTTGGGAGGGTCTTTGGAGACAGTTTTGTCTCATACTCCATTTCTCAGATGATGTCACCGAAGCTGTAAGAGGACCTTCCTGTAGTCACACCATGAGTCAGACATGGAATAGGGGCTTGAGCCAGGACCCTGCCTCCCCAACACTCCCTCCACTTTGCCCTGTTCTTACCTTTGACCCTTCCTGACCTTTAGCCTCCTTCTCTGGGAATCCCAGGACCCCTCTTTTTCCTGCTCAGCCCTCCCCTGCACCCAGCAATTACCAAAGCTCTAGGCCCATGATTCCTATTCATACCTAGGAAAACAGAGGCCCAGAGACACTCTCGGGCCTGGGATGACTTGACTGCTTTCCCGCTCTCAGAAAGCACCGTGCCTCCCTACCTCTGCTTAGCCATCCCTCTACTGGAAGCCCTACCCATTCTTCTGGTTGAGACTTACTTGTCCCCAGCTCAGTCACCACCTCCTCCAGGAAGCCTTCCCTGACTCTAGGCACTGTCAGTTTCCCCTCTTTGGGGCACCCACAACCCCCAGTGCTTCTTTTCCTTTGTCTCGGCATTTATCAAGCTGTTTGGGATTGTTGGTTTGTATATCTGTCTTGTTCACTAGCCTGTGGGCTCCTGAGGGTAGAACTTGGTTCTCAGCCTTGCCTAGCACCATGCTGGATATAGAGCAGTCATAGAAACTGATGAATGAATGAATAAATGAATGGGCTGAGGCTATCTAGGAAGGCTTCTCTGAGGAGCTAGCACGTGAGCTGGGCTCTGAAACATGAACCTCAGTGTGGTAGATCTGAAGTCAAAAGTCCTGGTTCAAGTTCTGGCTGTGTTATTAGCTTTGTGACTTTACTCGGGTCATTTTCCCTCTCTGAGCCTTAGTTTGTTCATCTGAGCAATGGGGACAAGAACTAGGCCTAATCTGCCCCAGTGGGAACCTTCAAATAATGTAAGGCACCTTCACTGTGCTTACAAGAGAGTCAAGGTCAGGTATATTAGCCCTATTTTTATTTTTAACAAAGGAAGAGACTGAGGTTCAAAGAGAACCAAATTGGAACTTTATAGAACTATTGAAAAATTTAAGAGTGTTTCATGATAGCAGCTGCAGTAGTAATAGTTGAGCCAGGGCTGGCTGGGGAAGCCAGGTGTGCAGTGATGTGATGTATTCATTTTTTGTTGCTGCTGAAATAAAATACTGCAAATTTAGTGGCTTAAAATGGCACAAATTCATTATCTTTCTGTCTGGAGGTCAGAAGTCCAAAATCAGTCGCACTGGGCTAACATCAAGTTGTCTGAAGGTCTGGTTTCTTCCAGAGGCCTTGTAGGGGAGAATCTGTTTCCCTGCCTTTTTCAGTTTCTTCACTCTACATACATTCCTTGGCTTGTAGCTTCTCCTTCCATCTTCAAAACCAGCAGAGTAGCATCTTCTAAACTCTCGCTCTCTGCTTCCTTCGTCAAACATCTCTCTCTTGCCTCCCTTTTTTAAGGACCCTTGTGATTACATTGGGCCCACCTGGGTGATAATCTTCCCATCTCAAGATCCTTAATTTAGTCACATTTGCAAAATCTTGTTTGCCATGTCAAGTAACATAGTCCAGGTACTGGGGATTAGGGTGTGAACATTTTTGGAGGGTTATTATTCAGCCTCACTACTTGTAATAATTTCAGCCATTTTCTAGGTGTGTAGGTCATCTCATTATTCCCCTCAACCATCCCATGAGGTGATGAGAATGCTCTGTAAACTGTAAAGTGCCTTGTATGGGTTCGTAGTAGAGTATTATGGCCTAGAATTCAGTCTCTCGGTTTGAATCTCAGCATCTCACTCATTCACTGTGTTACCTTGAACCGGTGACTTAATCTGGCTGTGCCTCAGTTTTCTCATCTGTAAAATAAGTATAATAGTAACCAGCCTAGTGAGACTTTTGTGAGGATTAAATGAGGCAATCCATGGAGAGTGAGTGGCTTAGCACATAGTAAATGCTCGATAAGTGGCAGTTGTTCTTCCTATTACCCATTTTACAGATGAGATTACTAGAATGTGGGCCAGAGACTGCCTGTCAGTGAGACTGGGGAGGAAGAGTCCATTTCTGAGTAGACTTGAAAGGCTAAAGCTTGAGTTTTCCTTTATTCCTGTCCATCTCCTGGTCCCAGGCCCCAGCATCTGTCCCCTAGCCCAGGCCTGTGCACCCTCCCCCCCAACTTATGACCTGATTTAAAAGCTACCTTTTCCATAACCCCACCCCCGATCATCACTTTGCCATGCCCATTCCCACCCCCTCCCAATGTCCAAACTCTCTTTTTGGAAATTCTTCCACCCCTGGCTCTAGGGCCCTGGCCCCCACTGCTACCCCATTCTCTTCCCCTCTGTCACTCTCTCCTCTTCCTGATCCCTTGAATATCTCTTGCCCTGGCCTAGCTCTTCTCTTCATGAACACACTCCCTGACGGGTCCCATTGACTCCTTGAATGAATGGTTCCCAAGTCTCTGCCTCCAAGCCCTGCCTCCAGACTCAAAGAGCCAAATGCCTTCACATCTCCACTGTGATATCCCACAGACCCTCAGCCTCATCTTTCTCCTAACTTTTCCCCACTATCCCCTATACCCAAAATGGCCCCACAATCCTAGGAGTTGGTCAAGATGGGAGCACCCCAAAGTCAGTCAACGTCACATGTACCATCATGTCCTGTTAAGTCTCTGTCCTAAATAACCCTCCCCTCTGGCTCATTTCTCTAGGGCTGCACTGTTTTCTGGGTGCCTCCCTGTGGGTTTCCCTGTTTCGTTCTTGCTCATCCCCAGTCCATTCTCTACCCAGCAGCTGGGCAGTCTCAGAAACCTAAATCTGCCCATGATGCTGCCCTGGGTTAGAACCCTTTAGTTCTTATTACCTGCAAGACTGGAGCCCACACTCTGCCACTTCCACCCACCCCTGCACAGCTACTCTCTGAACTGCTTATAACCCCTCCCAAATGCACTCCACTGTTTCTCACCTCTAGGGCATTGCTCATTCAGTTTGCTCTGCTGGGAGGTTAAGTCACTTGTTCAAGGTAACACAGTGAATGAACGAGATACTGAGATTCAAATCCAAAGCCTGAATTCTAGGCCATAATACTCTACTACTAACCCATACAAGGCACTCTCATCTCCTCTTCATCTGGCAGATGCCTTCTTGTTTTTCAGACCTCTGCTTCCTGATGGGGTCTTCTCTCCTTTCCTGCCCCCTGCCCCATCCTTTGCCATTTTGTGGAGTGCTGGGTATTGCCTTGTGAGGGTCTGTGTTTGCTTCAGCACCGGACTTTGAGTTACACAAGGGCAGGGGAATTTCTTTATTCATAACAACATGTATTTATTGTGAGCTCTTTGCTGCTTGCTTTTCTAGGGATACAGTATAAACAAGATAGAAAAAATCCCTGCCTTCGTAGATCTTACTTTTGGTAAATTATATCATATGTAGGAAGTTATAACTACTTTTAAAAAACTTATAACTACTTTAAAAATATAA